AAATCCGAGTTCATTTAGGAAACTTAAATGCTAATGCAAACAAATTTAAAGCAAACTTTTATTTTTTGGTAACAGCTGCAAGTTTTGTTACACCCACTTCTGGCCTGGTTTGTGGAACAATAACAAGTGGTGCAAACAAAGCGAGGGATTCGATTATGGACAGCCAAGGAATTTATTTGGAGCAAATGCAATCAATCAGTATCTGGTAATGCTTTCGTTTGAATTCTGCGTGCCGCATCTTTAAGGTGTCAAGTGAAAAAGAACAGGAGGGAAGGGAGGAGCGTGGATATGAAAGGTGAACCACTGAATGCCAGACTAGATTCTACTGTATGTAAGGCAAAATAATGTTACGTAGCATGCTACACTCCCATTCGCACGACACACACCACCGATATAGTAGAGTCTCTGCTCAAGTTAGTTCAGGTGTAGTTGCAGCATTACACATTTTTCCTTTATTTATTTGAAAAACAACTCGCTGTGTTCATGCATTGGGCCAATGGAATGCAGTGGCACCAACTCCTGGTGGACATTTGTAGCAGTTGAAACTTTTGCCTAAAATGAAAACAGAAGGATCGAATCGCAGATTCTAACCCTGATCATAAGTTTGTTGACCTGTTTCGGAAAGAAACATTTCACCATATTAATGAGGTGTTGTTAGAGGCCGGACTTATGGATAATGTTATAAGCCAGTGAACGGTTAAAGGGATGAATGTGGGATGGAAGCTTACCACCAAACACTTTAATGAAGGCAGAAAAATTTGAGACCCGTTTTTAAAAAAAACTTCAAATATTCTAACAGAGTGGATTAGAGAGGTGAATTCCTATAAATAATTGCAGCGACTTTTATAATATATGTTCCAGCTAAGTTAACGACTTCATGGAGAGAGACAGGAAATTCCTACAACCCAGCTAAAAAGCTGTTTAAACAAATGGGTCTAATAATATATGGTCGGCCTTCTCCTCTTTAAGAGAGGTCCTCTACACTCCTCACTCAATTTCGAATGTTCCCTCAAGGGGATTATTTTCCGTTGTTAAGTTCAATTCCGTTTAACTTTTGACTAAAACCAAATTTTTTTGATGAATCACACAAATGTGAGCTGCGTTGTTACCTAATTCCCGCCAAGATTTTCTAATCTCGAATTTGTACAGCCATCAATTTTATGGAGGTATTTAAGAGGCTCTCCTAAGCCCGTTGTTGCTGCTGTTGTTAATCATTCTTCAGTCAAAATGGAGATAGCACCTCTGATACTAGACCAGCTTTAGCTATCCACAGTGCATATGTCCTTCTGTGACGTCTGAATTTCAGTGTCCCTATCTTTTGCAGACCTGTTGTTTCATTGGACCAGCTCTGCTTACGCTAGTCACCACTGTCCAGCAGAATATGATGTTGTTAAAAATAAAAAATTCTTTGGAAAGAAGTAAAAAGTAGTCAGTAATTCAGCCATCTTAGTAGACTATTAATTTGGTTATTCAGGTCTTAGGGGGAGAACTTTCAAGTGTGTGAACTTGGACATAACCGCATAATGAATACACTGATGGGCTGACAGAAGATACGTGAGCAGAATGTCTTGACACAACAACCGCGACACCTGTGTCTCAGTTTCCACAGTATAATTTTTACACTCAATAACTCCGAACAAGACGCGAATGTGGACCACACACAGCTTTTCTCCTAAGGGCTGGTGAACTTTTCAAAGGTTAAATGCTAAATAGATGGACACACGGTGTTTGCTTCTCTGTTATTAATCTCTGCTGATTTTACCAACCTCAGGTGATATTTGCCCTGTAAAGCTTGCACGTGGTGACGGGTTTTACTAATGAGCAGCGACGTCTTCATTCTCCACCTACTCTACAAGGCAGATCATACACCATTGCTACGCACCAACTTGATTTATTGTGCCAAGACTAGCGTGCAGTAGTTTGTAAAGGTCAAATTTGACGCCATAATAAATGGAGTGCATCAGAGTACTTTCCAGGTCATCTGTCTGTCTCTCACTTTTTGGCCCCTGTAGCTAATATCTTTCACTAAATCGCTTATTTGCCTTTCCTACTTCAGAGCCATTCACATGCCAGTACCGACTGCGATTACCTAATCTGGATTGCTTTAGTCTGCTCTTGCATCACTCCATCCTTATGGACCAACATATCTTCAGCCTTTTTAGCTTTCTGCCACGGGATGCAGTTGCTTCGGACCTGTCCATTCATTCACTCATTCACATCAAAGCCATCTTTCCATTTGTCTGGTCTGTCCACTCATCCTATTTCCACTCCTATTTTCTTGATCTATCTGTCCAAACTAAAACTATTTTTCAAGATCCATCTCTCTGTTAGTTCCACGTCCATTTTCACCTTCCATTCAGTCAATTAATTCAGAATCAACCAATCTAACTAATTTCGCCTTACACTTCTAATGCGTCCCATTTTCATTCTACTTGCTTACACTAAAATATTACTTAATTCATCCAAACACATGAATTCTTCATTCCAAATCCAATAATTTTATAAGCTCTACGTCTTAAGTCGACAGGTCACAAATCTATCTAGTCACTTCCGACCCATCCGTGTAACTCATTTTCATCAACCCACCTGTCCAGTTTCCGCCTTTCCATCTCTGATTTATCTTCTTTGCATCAAGTGGTCATGCTCTCTAGACCGTTTAGTCATCATCATGAAGGTAAGTAGGCTAAAGATAAGCAATAAGAGCCCAATTTGGTAGTCACTAAATTGTGTAGCAGGATGGATGTTAATTACACATGGATTAACGACCATTGTACATTATTTCTTTCCCATTATATTATATAATTATAGTGAAACCGATTTGTTGCATGAATAACTTCTTGTGAGCGTTGCACCCTGTGCTCACTTTGGTCACTCTTCGAATTTAATCACTACAATAATTCTTGAATTGGGCAACAATGACCATTCGATTTCTTCAGCAAAGAAGAGGTGTTTAATCTAACATCAAAGATGTATATCATCGATTTTAAAAAGGAAAGAGCATTGTAGAGCTAATATTCAGCAGCAGACCCTCCATGGCAATTCGCCTTTATTTAAGCACTACTCAATTTTCTATCTGAAATCCATTCAACAATCAACTAGATTAGCTACCTTCTTACCTTGAATTGTAATAAACAGCTTCATGAATGAAGTTTCTTGGCATTTCATTTATGGCCAGGAAAATGATAGGCCTCAAGATGCAGCGCAAGCAGCAGTTTTTGGTATAGTTCTTCTTAATGAATTTGTCTGGTGAGCTATTAATGCGAACAAGAATGTGAGATTAAAAGTTTCTCCAGAAACATTTAGGCCCATTGATTTAGTTGAAAGATGATTTATCAGCATATAAGACAACCACCGAAGACTTTATTTGGTTAAATTTCCCCATGTCAAGGTTTGCCCGCTGGAGTCAGGGGAAGAACATTCTGCTATCTTAACATACCCTCAAATTACCTCATGTTTCTTCTTTGAGGGCTGTCATTACACCATATTCTCGTTGAACAATCACATACTAAATAGAACAGATGGTCAAATTCTTTTTGTCTGCCTTCATCTAAAGCATAAACATGGCAGAAATTTACACTTTTGAGCAATTAGGAGGATAAGTTCTCCAGCTAGGCGTTGAAAAGCATGAACTGACTTAGTTATCTGGAAGTCAATCAAATGCAACGCATATGCTTCGCTGTAAAAAGAAGGGCACAAGTGGCTTTCCGAAGATCTAGTAGCAGAAAATTGGATTTAATAGAGAATTGTTCCATTCTTTACATTATATCTACTCTTTCTTGCAGTGTTACGTCGCACTTATTTGATTAGGGCACTTCTCTGCTGAACTTACCACTTTCTGTAGAGGGGGAAATAATAATTTTTTCGTGGATGACTTTTTCCTTCACCTGCACTTGAACGAGTCAAGTAGGAGATGACCGCACTACAAGGATGCAATCCTGTTGAATACAATTAATTTATAAAATCTACATGACTTATTTGTAACCTTCTCGCAGTAAATGCTTTACCTTCGGTTCTTCATTGATAATAAAACCCTAAGGTTTAAAGACACTCTTTTAGGTAAAGCCACGCAGTGACTTACTAATTTCTGTTTCCCTAAATTAAATGATAACTTGCGATAGCCAACGCGGAATGTCAACCAAGGGTGCCTTCAAAAGAGAAGGGAGCCATGTGACAATTTTAATGTTTGCCTACGTCTTCGTTTTGTTTATCTAAGCATGATTCCATCTTTTATTAACGTACTAATGAAAGAAATTTATGCGGCTGTTCAATTTGGAGTTATTCTAGGCCACTCTGACAGCTTTATGGCATAATCTAGAAAGATGGCAGGTCTTTCAAATCGACTTATGTGCAATCTTGAAAGCCAACTGACCGTACAAATTGAAGATTATTTGTGCTATTATCAAACAGGGCCTTTATAGCCACTACCATCCGAGATATATGCGTTCAGATTTGACTGAGCAAAGTAGAAAATTTAGTGCGCTCGACTTTTAAGGGACTTAAATTCAAATCCCCTCTGTTATTCTTCTGTCTGAAAGTTAGCGATGCAGTGCGGTCTCCGAGCTACGAGATTGGAATGGGTAATTATTGTCCTCTGCCACTAACTGGACAACCTGCGCCAACGCTAGAATTGCTACAAATTGTGAGACTCTGAAGACGACTTCAGTGACATCAAAGTGAAGGTCCAGTGGGTCGTCAATCGAAATGAAACAATCGGGTGTTCATGATCACTTGATCATACGAAAATCGGTGGAGACAGGATCCACGCAGCCAAGCCCCTCAGTACTTCAAGATTGTGCTATTCTAGTTGAATACCAATTTTTCAAACATATTTTGGAATGAAAATTCAGTCAATTTTGGGAAAACAGTTGAACAAATTTGTAGTAATGCAACTAATTATTGAAAACTAGCCACATTTTATTAGGAAAAATGCTCATGTCCTGGCAAACTTGTCACAGCCCATCAAATGCTGGATTGATTGAGTGAGTAGCAAAATTCTGTAATCTGCTGTCTTTGAATTTTGCGGTGCAGAAAGCTATCCGCAGAACCAAGTGAGAGACTGGGCTTGCCGAAGTAAATCAGGACTTAAATGTGGTAGAACGTCAGCCCGAAATTACCACCATGAACGATCGGTTCAAGGGCATTGCTTGTGGCTACGCAGAAAATGGCCATTTTATATGGTGGCCAAAAGAGCTCATGCAATTTGTACTTATGAACTCAGCACCCTGAGTTTTTCCAGAAGAAGAAAGTAGTCAGGATGCTGAGACAGAATGGGCATTGTAGTAACCAGTTCCATGTTACCGTCAAGGCCTCAGATACAACGTACAGTAAGGCAGTGACTCTGGTAAGTGAATGTTAAATTTTTTCTTAAACAAGTGAAAACACATAAAACGACATTTTTGAGTCAAATGTTTATTATTAGTGAGATTTAATTGGGAGTAAAAGGATCACATGTGACCGATTAATAGGTTCTAGTATAAATAAATTTGCTCTATAATATCCTTTTTTAAGAAAAAACCCCTTTTACACTTTTTACAAGGTTTCTTAGAAAAAGTCCAATTTAAGCGTCAAAACCATGCATTTTGGAAGCTTAAAAACCCCCGATTTTATATTTTCCGTGTCTGATTTATATTTGGACTCAATCCTGATGTATATCTGGTTAAACTACTTTCCTTTCAAGAAAAATAGTTCACAAAATTTGATTGTTTCTTTCTTGCGATAAAGGGTTCATAATTTGAAGGTTGGACTAATATGGCATAACACAGGCATGGCCTCCACATCCCACCATTGAGGGAGGGGACAGTGTGTGTGGCATCCCAACTTAATAAATGAATTTGAAGGGTAGTTCAAACAACTTGCAATCTTTTGAGTTAGATGGTAGAAGTCTTAGACTGTACACAGAATATTTAAGTCAGAACTCTCAGTTCCCATACATGAATAGCTGATTATCAACTGCTGTGCATCGAGCGATTGCAATGATGACCTCAAGTTCTCTTCGTTCATCTGTGGCAGCTTCAAGTAGATTGCTGAAAGGGCAGCGTGTTGAAGGAGACCCGAATTCCATCTTTATCTTCGAGCATAATCTGATGAATAAATAATGTCAGGGTGCCTTGCAACACCGACAACAGGAAGTCCTTCCCCGTCAATTTGCATTTGTTCCAAATAGACCCAATTTTGTAAAG